GAATTTCTACGTGGGAGGTTTTATTTTAATTTAGAGATACTAAGGATACTAAGGCAAGTAATAAAAAAAAAGGAAGGATGTGGTGAAAATATTTTGCATATATACAAAATTAATGTCAAGTATAAAAATGTTTTAAATAAAACATTTGTTTTCATATTGGACAGCTGAAAATCTAGCTATTGCCTTTTCTTGACAACTAAGGCTATCGCTATCATTCACTGAAAGAGACTTCTTATTAACAGAGTTTTCAAAATTAAAAAGAAACAGGATTTAATTGCATTGTTTGATCCTTTACACAGCTTGTTATGGTTCATACACAGTTATGTATGGTTCAAAATCCAGGCCAGTTGGTTTCTTACCCTTAGCTCAACATGCAGTCACATTAGATTACCTTCAGGTTTTCGTTTTGGCTTTTTTTGCCTTCACTATAATTGGACATTTTACATAGACTGTACTCTCAATTCATTTATATTTGGCACTATATTGAAATACACTTGTCATTGTTAACCAGCATCCAACAATTATGATAATTTGACATACCATTTTCAAAGTTATATTGAATTTTCTCTTCTTATAGACACTAATTGCATATTTGAAGTGATGGATCTTGTTCTCTCAGAAGCATGCATCTGGATCCCTTATTTATCAGTACTTGAGAAAGAGGTATGACCTTATTTCTTCCATTTCTTAGGTTTTCAGAAATGCATAAACAGTGCAAACAAACATAAATCATGTTCCATCAACTAACTTATAAAACCATTTGCATGGAAACAGGGTAATTCTGTCCTATTTTCTGCCCAGTAAGTTAGTGCTTAAGAAACTCAGGTGGAATAGAGAAATTGGACTGAATTAGCTCATACTTGAAATAATATGCCATATTTGGCACGATTATTAAGCTTCTGTATATGCCTGGAGAACCACAGGGATGTGTTATTTAGCCTTTTCACCTGAAAACATTTCCATCTTGTCTTTGTGCACATCCCTGTGCCATTTTACAAGCCTCCCCTCCAATCCCAGGTGGGAGTCTTTGACTCCTATTCATTTGCAACACTTGTGCTGTCAGAAATATGTTGTGGGAGATAACAAATGAGTGACATTGAAAAGAATCCCATCTGTGCAATTGGACATACAAAGTTCATCCAGAACCTGCTGCACATCAGTGGCACTACCCCTCACAGCTCTGGCTCTGGCACAGGAGGGGAGCACCACAAAGTGCCATGTACATGCAGGCAATGAGCTCCCAAATGGTTCCCCTGCTCTGCAGAGCTCTGAATCCTCCCTTGCCATCGGGTGCACATTTAATAAACACATTTTCATTGTGAATGAATGACAGCTCAGAGATTTACAGTACTCAGAACAACTATAAACAATTTTTTCTTTTTTATGAGAGGAGGATGAGGAGAAACTGTGTTGCAAGAATAGCTGAAAGTAAGAAGCTTTTCATACATGTGTTAATTCACAAAAAATGGTGATGGACTGAAATCTGATCCCTGTTACCCCCAGTGTACATGGGAGCTTGACCTGGAACTCTTTGATTAGAGAAAACATTTTCTTTGAACCCCCAGAATTTCAAGCAGAGAACTATTTGAATGACTGTTGCTGTTAGTTAAATAAGCATCAGTAACACACTATTTTCAACCCTTAATAATTAAGTTTTGCTTGGCACTTCCATGCAACCACCATGCTGAGTAATATCTCACTGAAGACCAGACATTTGGAGGTGTAAGGAATGGTAGAGCAGATACTTTAAATTTTCATCATGACATCTCTCACCATGTTTTTAAAAAGCCCACGTCAATTAAGGAAAGTATGCTTTGAAGAACTTCCTGCAATTTTTATTTAGCTTAGAGATATAGTTATTTAGCATTTCAAATAAGCCATGAAGTGCAGAAAATGGCCAGTAGCAGCTAAATCCTGGAAAGCAGAATTTTAAGTAGGTTCTCTACAGTTAGAAAACTTAAGGAAATGTTCAGTTACTTGCAGTTACCAAGAAGGGTAATGAACATTTATAGGTCTTTAAAAGCATGTCATGTCACAGAATCCATATTAACAGACTCATTGGAAAGACATCTGCTGTATTCAGTGACTTCTGCATTGGGAACTCTGCAAGCAGTTCTGAGATTCCCCACACTTTTAAGCAGGTGGCAGTGTAGGTTAAAGAGACATAGATTTTCCTGCAGCTGATAGAAATCATGCTTTCCAATTTTCCCATTTATCTCAACTTAAGGTAAAAATACACAGCACTGTTACTGGGTTCCTATCTAGATGGGAACAGGCATGAACTTTAAAATGCACCTCTTTGTTGACTCAACAGAATTCCATTATTTCCAGATGCAGCTTTGTGAGCTTTATTTCTCAGAACGAGAGCCTGCAGTAAGAGACATAACTTAACCTCTCCTCTTTAATATGACAGTGGAAAGACCTGTCTTTTGAAGGGGTTAGGTGATGTTGAAGCACAGTGATTCAGCATCAGTGCTCAGTGTCTAATGATAAACTTTGATAGTTTTAATAGAAGCAAATACAGTGCCCTTCCTTCTACTGGACCTTAATTTATGTCACTGACACAGACTCAGCAGCTAAGGAAATAAGGAATTTAGTTTACATTGGCAACTTTGGTCTGCCCTTGCAGTTATTTCAATAATTTGTGCATAAAATGTGGCAATATCTAGTGTTTGTGCCTAAGGATCACTAATAAGGTTGATTTTAACATCTTTGACAGCAACATGGATGGTGGGATGGAGTGCATCCTCTACAAGCCTAAGGATGACACTCAGCTGGACAGGCTAGAGAGAAGCAATGCCATCCAGAAGGTTCTTGAGAGGCTTGAGAGGTGGGCCACATGAATCTTGTGAAGTCCAACAAGACCAAGAACAAGGTACTGCACTGGGGCAATCCCAAGCACAAATACTGGCTGAGCAGAGGATGGATTGAGAGCAGCCTTGGGGAAAGGATTTGGTGGTGTTGGCAGACAGGAAGCTGGACATGAGCTGGCAATGTGTGCTTGCAGCCCAGAAATCCTCACACCTGCTGTACTGCACCAAAAGCAGCGTGACCAGCAGATCGAGGGAGGTGATTCCCCCCCTCTGCTTTGTAAGACCCCTCCTGGAGTGCTGTGTCCAGGTTCAGGGCTCATCCTGAACAAGAAGGACACTGACCTGTTGGGGCAAGTCCAGAGGGAGCCATAAAGGTGATCAGAGGGATGGAGCACCTGTCCTTTGAGAGAGTTGGGTTTGTACATCCTGGTGAAGAGAAGGCTCCAGGGAGATCTTACAGCACCTTCCAGTCCCTAAAACGAGCTTACAAGAGAGCTGTAGAGGGACATTTTACAAGAACATGTAGTGATAGATCTTAAACTGGAAGAGGGCAGGTTTAGATTAGATATTAGGAAGAAATTCTTTACTATGAGGGTGGTGAGGTACTGCAAAATGTTGCCCAGAGAGGTTGTGGACACTCCTGGATGTGTTCGAGGTCAGGCTGGGTGGAGCTTTGAGCAGCTTGGTCTAGTGGAAGATGTCCATGCCCATGGCAGAGGGGTTGGAACTAAATGATATCTAAGATCCCTTCCAACCACAACCATTCTATGGTTCTCAATATTTTTTAATTTTTATATTCTATTTAATTTCTATTTTTTCAGATTCATCCTAGCCTATTAAACTAAAATAAACAAACAAAATGCAACAGCTGAGTTTCATTTAATGAACAGTATGTGGCTTTGATCTCTTGCTAATGTGTGAAACAGAACAATCCTTTTTCAGAAATTTTTTTTTAGGATGACTAGACACATGGTAACAGTAGTTGTCATGAAGCTGTAGGTTTTTCACTTGGAGATATGAAAAATGTGTGCTTGTGCAAATACTCTTGTGGAAGTGAAGCAGTGTTCAGATGCACTGGTTCTGTGGCAGGAGAATACAGCTGGACTTAAAAAATATAGATGAACCCAATAGTTCCTTTTATTTGGGGAGTGCAGGACGGGTAAAAATCCCAACTTCGTTACAGGAATTGATTTCCACACTGCTGAAAAGTCAAGTTCGTCATGTTCAGGTGGAACTTGTGCATCAGCTTCTGCCCGGCGCCTCTCCTCCTAGCGGTTGGCATCACCGACGAGAACCTGGCCCCTTCCTCTCGACGCCCGCACGGTCGATATTCCCGCAGGGTGCTGAGCCCGGCTCAGCCCCTCTTTGCGGGGTGGGTGCCCGGGCAGGGCGGAGGGCAGGGCGGAGGGCAGGGCGGAGGGCAGGGCGGAGGGCAGGGCGGAGGGCAGGGCGGAGGGCAGGGCCGCAGCTCCGGCAGCCCCGCGGGCAGCGGGGCCGGCGGGAGCGCCCTCAGGGCCTGCCCGCGCCGCGACAGCGCCCCCCCGCGGCGGGAGCGCGCATCGCACCGCGCCGCGCCGGCAGCGCCGCTCCGCAGCCCCACGCGTGACGAACGCGCCGCGCTGACACTCCCGCCCCACACACCGCAGCCCCACGCGTGACAAGCGCACCGCGCTGACACCCCCTCCCCACACACCGCATCCCCACGCGTGACGAACGCGCCGCGCTGACACCCCCGCCCCACACACACCCCACACACCGCAGCCCCACGCGTGACGAACGCACCGCGCTGACACCCCCGCCCCACACAGCGCAGACCCACGCGTGACGAACGCACCGCGCTGACACCCCCGCCCCACACACACCCCACACAAACAGCAGCCCCGCTGCCACAGGAGCGCCCCGCAGCCCCCACGCCGCCCGCAGCCCGACCCCCGGCTCGCGGGTCCCGCCCGCTCCCGCGGCAGCCCCGGCCCCGCGCACGCCCCGCGCGCCCCCCCGCGCCCCCCGCATGCGCAGCGCGGGCGCGGAGCTGTCCGAGCGCTGAATCCGGCGCTGCCGCCCGCCCGCCCCATTCCAGCACAGCCCGCGGCTCCCGCCCCGCTGCCGCCGTGCCCGCTGCCCCCCCTCCCGCACACCCTCCCGCCCTCCCCGGCAACGCCGACGCTTCCCTACCCAAAGAGGGGGAAAGCAGAGCGACCCGGTAGCCCCACCACCGTTCATAAATACTAATTTTCAGCGAAAGGGGAATAAAACATATCGACAACAGAACTGCTCTCAGTGCTGTTCCCTTTTGCCTGATGCTCCTCGCATAGTTGGGTTTTCTCCTCCACTCTTTTCCTTTTTCTCCCCTTTTTTTCCCCCTTCTTTCCATTTCTTTTCTTCTTTTTTGCTTGGCTCTTTTTTTCCCCCTCCATCACCAAAAGCAAGTCGGGGGAACGACTGTGTCTGATGCCTTATCTCTTTTGTGCTGACTGCTGGAGATGAGCCTAGGCTTGACCTGACCATGATTCCAAGGACTGGCACTTCTCTTTTACCCCCACTTTGTAGAGATCCAGACCTTCTCTTCCAGATTGTCAAGAAAATTAAATTTTTGCTGAATTTGGAAATCTAGGCAGCAGCAGCTTACTTTTTCCCTGCATCTCTCTGGAATCATTTCTGGGATATTTCCAAATCATCACAGAAAGCAGGAGGAATGAACCGGCAGCTAGTGAAAATTTTGACAACCTTGTTTGCATTTTTCTTAGAGACAAACCACTTCAGGTAGGTGATACCACTCTGTAATAATATTTGTCAAAAGGTCGTGAGAATCATAACTATAAAGATACTACGTCACAATAACCTAGTTTGTTTGCTGTATTTGAGAGTGTTTTGTGTTCATTCTATATAGACTATCCCTTTCACACTCAGAGACTCGTTGCTTGGTAACAAACACAAAAAATAATAATCTCAAGTTTGGGTGATCTATTTTCCATTTTCTGATGCAAAGATGTGGGGTTTTTTTCACTGTATATCAGTACAGCTAAGAACATTTTCTTCGGCTTTTCTTCCTAAATGCATATTCTCTGCTCCTGGCAAAGGTTGTTTAGGAAGTTGCTTTGGTTCCCTCCTCTTCAATCTTTGGAAATGATTGTACTGGTTTTGTCAGGGATGTAGTTATTTGAAATTAGAGAACTAGTCCTCTCTGATTTTGGGAAAACCCTGGATCAGACTAGTATTGTGTTCACTTAAAGTCCCAACGTTTCTGATTTTTTTTAATGTTTCATGAGCTTTTGCTTCAGCTATTGACTTTTTTTGTGGTGCTAAGCAAACAGGTCAGTCTTATTAACCAGAACAGCATTTTAGATGAGATTCATTATTGGAATGTATGCTGCTGTGCATCTGCACGTACAGATGAATCTACACGTAAAAGTGTTGTTCTAAGAGTAACGAGGGATACACATAGAGACAGAGTGAAACTGTTTATATTTGTGAGCCTGGCTTCACAACACCACTCATAACTAGTGGGCTCTGAATGAAAACAGAAGTAATTTGTATATGAATAAGTGTATTGTCTTAATTTTCCAGTTTTTATTTTCTTAACTGAATAATTTCATTAAGTTGGATAGATCATCTGCTGTGTATTAAATATTAAAAATATTTGCAATGGTACCCTGTCATTGACAAAAGCAAAAGGAAGCAACCGCCTCCTATAAATGGAACTGAAAAAAATGTGTGGAATCACACCACAAGAATTTACTATCACCTTGCCTTTTAACAATTCAGGTGAATGTTTCTCTTTGGTAGCAAGAGAGGATTTGATATTTTCTTCTCCTTTCAGATGATCAGATATATATCTGATATTTTTATACTTGCATGTAGATGCATGAAAATACCCCATGAAACACTCCTGAAACTGAGAGGTTCCCTTTGGGCAAATATTTAAACAGAGAGTGTTTAAGAAGTCAGAGTCAGAATTACTTTTAATTTAGCTCAAAGATAAAGTGGAAACAGACAGAATGAAATTGGTTATTTAAGACTTAAGATAATGTTTTATTATTAAATCTGTGCCTCTACACACCAAATATGACCGTTTTCATTCTAGTTTCTTTTTCCCTGGGGAACAACCGTGGGGAACTCCCAAACTGTCTTTCTCTGCATTGTATTATGTGTTTGCAATATGCAATGTGCTGTGTACACAGCATTTCACACACATGATATCATACCAGAAGTTTTCCCTTAAATCCTTGAAACAGACGTGTTCAATGAACTTGCATATGAGTACCACCTGGTGATACTAAATTTTATTATTCAGTGCTCATGGAGTGGGGGTGAAACCCCCCTAAGATCAGTTGTGCTTGACTCCAGAACCCTTTTTGCCATGCTGGGAAGGAATCTGGACACTCATTAGCATGATTTAAATATTTTTTGGGTATCATCTATAAAAAACAATTAAAATTTTTTTTCCCATCTGTATCTTTCCCAACATTAACAAATACAGTATTTTTCAGTGTTGCTTGTTAAGTGTTGTTGGCTCTTGTTTGGAAGTTTAAGACCACCTTAAACCAGTGTTAACATTTTAACAGCATCCATGCAATTAAAACAATGATATAAAATAGGATATCAAAATCATTCTAAGATGTATCTACACGTTAAGGTGAAGAGTAAATTGAATCTTCCTAAAGTCTTAAAACTGTAATGAATTTTTTTTTAAAGCTAAGGCTTTTTCTGAATGGAAAATTGTGTTCATGCATGATACCTGAAACTTGTCTTTATTTCTACAATAAGGTTTTCAGATGAAAGGTAGAGTATGTTGCTCTGTAAAAACATTAATTTCTACCTTCACTGAGTTGAGACAATTTTATTTAGTTATGTAATTTCTCCATGACTTGAATACAATACAAGCTAAATATTAGCTAATGGTGGCTAATAATTTATTTAGGACGACTTTCTGTAAAGAACATGATTCAAGATCTGGAAAATCCCCCTCACAGACCCTGTCTCCTTCAGATTTTTTGGACAAATTGATGGGAAGGACATCGGGGTATGATGCTAGAATCAGACCAAATTTTAAAGGTAAGTTTTCTAAGACTTCTAATTAATTCATTGATAAAGTTTGGGATAAATTATAGGTTTTGAGGGGGTTTTAACCTCTGGGTTTAGATTATGTTTTCAATAACTTCACTTTTCCAGTGTTATAGTACCATGGAAAACAGCTAATCCATGGAGTGGACTAGGAGACAGAGCAGTGTAGATAATAAAGGTCCAGAGCTTGAAAACTCTCTTTTGACATGACAATAATGTTCAGCTGTCAAAAAATGCATCTGAAGACTTTACTAATTTAACATAGTGAATAGGATTATGGGCTTCAGACTAAAACCAAATGAGATGAACTTGTTCCTGAAATTTTTAAGCCACAAAGATAATATCATTAGAACTTTCATGATGAGATATTGTCTTCCTTATAGCAGTGTCTGAAGAAAAAAATCTATGTTTTCTTTCAGCTTGAAGAAAGTAAAATCTTCTTCCCCAAAGTAGGGGGGACTCAAGGAATATACACAGACGATTTTATCCTGCAAATGCTGAATGAATGATAAAAACCAATGGCTCAGGATCCCTATAAAACATAGAAACTTTATTTTGTTTAGTACTTTTATAACAGTCCCCATTTCTTCCAAAATTTGGGCTGAATTGTGGAACATCACCACCACCATCCAGCACAAAGAAGGCTGTGTACTGGAAGCTTCTTTTGCAAACATTATTCCTCAAAGCAAGTTTTCCTTGCTGTAGTCCTGTAAATCCCTATAGAAAAGAGCACAGAATATCTTGTGGCATTCTATGAGAGGAGTTGAGAGAGAAGTTTTCATTGCCAATATTTAGCATTTTGGAGAGTCCTATAATTCCATCAAAATCATCTCCTCTATGCCAATTTAAAGCTCAGAGTATGGTTTTACTTTGAAAACTAATAGAATGCTTTCTCTCTTAACAAATCTCATGACAATGTATATTTGCAACTCATATCTATTAGCTCTGGCCACTGAAATGCATTTTTTCCTGTATTAAGCCTTTTTAGCAGTACTGTGAAAGTTGATAATGGCTGGAAAAAATAATCATTTCTTAGCCAGTGAATGAACTGTAAGGAGAGAAGAAGCTCACATGTCAATGAGAAAAGTGTTTAATTAAATTTAGATCAAAGATCAGTTTCTTCTCTCTGTTCCACATGTGCAAATTACAAGATTTAGAACAAAGTGCCTTTTTTTGACTGCTTCCTATGCCTGAGCGAGGAGCAAATCAGTATGGATTTCAGATCCAAAGGTTTGAAAGCTGACAAATTAAGAAAACCAAGTCAGTGAAGTCTAAAGTCTTAATTTCGGAGTATTTTTCAAAGTGCTTATTGAGTTCCTGAACTGGTGTCCACATCAGCTCATAGTAAGCAATATTGCATTAGTCTCTCACATTAATTTTGTGTGTTTGCATGAGTATCAGTGAAATCAGAGAATGTAAATGAAGGCAGAAATTGCCTGAATTGAGCACAATATCAATCCTCAAGAACATTTTCCTGCTCTTTAAAGAGGAAAGAGCAGGGGGGCGGGGTGGGGGTGCACTAAAAAATCATCTCTTGTATCTCAGAAAAAATCCAGTAATAGCAACAGTCCCATGTACATACCTGACTTAGAGACAGCTCTCTATTGCTCCCCAGTTTGTGTCTACAACCATTTCAGGACAGCACAGGTTCATGGCTTTGCTCACCTGGCACTGAAGTGTGTGGAGCAGGTATTGTGTGGTGCACACTGAGCTGTTGGACAGACACTTCTCCCCTCTGAGTCCTGTATTTTGTTTGCATTCCCAAGGTGAAGTTGCTGCCTGTTGACACATATGAGACCTTACTGGGAAAGCATCTGCCATATTTTTGTTGTTGATTTATTTATTAAGTCACACTCCAGAGCAGGATGGTACTTTGTGGTAGTTTGAACTGGTAAATAGATTTTCAATTCTTCTCATAATTTTGTGTCTGTGAGCTCTCCCAGAGCTCTCAGTATTCCGGTGAGGGGCCTGAAAGTTCTCCTTGTTCTTTGCTATGTTCATTTGGATGGTATTTTGGACCTCAGAGTTTAGAACTAGGGAGTTAAGTCATGCAGTTTTGAACTTCATATCACCAGTCAAAATCTTGCCAGCTAATAACCATGTTTATTAGTCAATATCCATGTTTTCATTGCCCAAGTCTCATCAATGGTTCAAAGAAATGGAAAATACTGATTGTTCTATATTACATACTTCTTCCTTTTAAAGAATAAGGACAGCTGAAAAGGAGTCAAAATAAATTTATTTTGCTTGAAGTTAGTATGATAAAGATTATTTTTTTACTGAGTCTTTACTCTGTCCATAATGAATTGTTCTGGTTTTTAACATTTATATATATGTTTAAGATAATTTTGGGGGTAAGGCCTATTGCACAATACTGATATTCTAAATCATCTAAATGGAAGAATGTATGAAGTGCTGAACAAGTACCTGATTCATAACATTTTTCATATTTTAAGGAAAGAACTTTTTATCGTAAAAGAGGCTACTAGAGCAATGGTTTAAACTGGGGATCTTCTGTCTGGTTTTGATTTTAGTCCGGGGATAATATTTGTTACTATGTTTCAGAAAAGACATTGTGAATCAAGATGTGCCACATTCAGCCTCTCCTCATAGGTCTTGAGGGGCAGATGTTTGAGGAGTGCTGAGGGCACTTGGTCTCTTCAGCCTGCAGAGGAGGAGGCTGAGGGAAACCTCATTGTGGTCTTCAGCATCCTCACAAGGGGAAGGGAGGGGCAGGCATTGGTCTTTTGTCCCTGGTGACCAGTGACAGGACCCAAGGGAATGGCCTGAAGCTGTGTCAGGGGAGGTTTAGGTTGAATATTAGAAAAAGATTTTTCAGCCAAAGGGTGGTTGTGCACTGGAACCAGCTTCCCTGAGAAGTGGTCACAGCACCAAGCCTGAGAGAGTTCAAGAAGCATTTGGACAATGCTCTCAAGCACATGGTGGGATTCTCTTGGCCCCTGTGCAGGGCCAGGAGGTGGGCTTGATGATCCTGATGGTCTCTTCCAACTCAGTTCATTCTGTGATTCTCTGATTCTACTCATGCATTTGTCTAGCTTTTTCTGCTTTAGACCAGTTACACAGCTTTTTCTGAGTCCACTACAGGGATTTTAAAGTGTCAGAAAACTCTGATTTCATGGAAATGCAACTGAGTAGAACACATTTATCTTATGTCACTGATTATACAATAATTAAATATACTTTTATGACTAGTTTGAATTACTGGAAAACAGCAGCTATTAGATTAATTTTTGCAATAAAGGCTGTGCACTCTAAAGAGTGAGGAAAATGCTACTTACTGGAACAAGGTGTTTTATCCAGATAAAGCATTCCTTCATTAGTGACTACTTTTTCCTATCTTGTTCTTGCAAATTAAAAAATTCCGGAAGATAGTGGGAGAGCAACAGGTGAATATATAAACATTTAGACATCAAAACCAGGGGTTCTTTGGTTGTGATTTTTTTGTGGCTGTTTTTTTTTTTTTGGTTAGTGCTTGTTTTTTTCCCAGCAGTACTGTATAATGAAAGATACTTTCTCTTTTGTATTGTTCTATCTTACATAATTATTCTAACGCAGAAAAACATATTTCTTTTTCTTTTTGATTTCAAGTGGTTGGATACAAAATGTCCAGACACTAAGAGGGGATATCTCCCTGATGAAAAGCCAGAAGGAAGTTCCAGAGTGACAGCTCTCAAAACTGCCCTTCTTTAATCACTCTCTGTCAGATATTTAATGCACATTTTCATCTTCCACTTATCTTTCATTGAATTGGAACAGGCTAATAATTTGTGTAAGGAGACAGAGGGGAATACTTTTAAATGTAAATATGAAGACTGCAATCTAGTACTAACTGAAGTCCCTGAGAGTCTTTCTGTTGACAGCAAATGTATGCTCATGGTCCTGTGAGTTGATTTGCAGTTTCTTCTTCAATTATAGCATCAATTGAGCATGGTTTCTGAAATATAATAAAAGGTGAGGCTTGGACAATGCATTTTTACTTTATTAATATTAGTCTTCTATTATTTTATAGTAAAACATGAGAGAAGCAATGTCTTTTACTTTCTTTGGTGCTCACTTTGCTTTCAAAGTTAAAAAAAAGGCAGGAAATAGCAGTGTAGAGCACCTCTGTTATGAAACTAGCCAAGAATGTGCTTTCTCATAGCTAGAAACAAGGGATGGTGAAGTGGTATCTTTGCTTAGTGTATATTCAGCCCAGGCTCAAGAGCACTGCATGTAATGCCAGGATACAAGGGATCAATCTAAAACTGAATTACAACATGAAATGTGGGGCTAATGGAGAGCCAACTTGAATTTAACATTTCCAAGCAGGTGTTGAGTTTCAAATTTTTTCAAATTATTTCAACTTTTTAGCACTTTCATCATCTACCACCACTAAAAATCTAAATGCAATCTAGAAATTATCAGATAGAAAAAACTCCATTATATACAGGCACTGCTATGTCTGTTATGCCAAATACTTCAAGTAACAGGCTGGCTGTCATGCCCTGGGTACAGGGCAGGGGAGTTGGTCGCCAAGAACTGCAGATTTGTGTCATCTTCAGGTATAGAAAACATTTACAATGAAGATGATAGTGATTTTCTTTTTATTGAATTTCATTCCATGTTTTAAATTCAGTCTTTCTGATTGAATCGCTATTAACTAAAGACTATTCTGATTTTTATGGAATTACATGAAGGTATGCAGCAGTAACGCCTGTTAATGTTACCCTCATAGCTGCATGGTGCAATACAGTGTGAATTAACTTGCTCAAAAGCTGCTGTTTTGTTAGTGATGCAGTTTGGGGGTGTAGGGCCATAGTTGTAAAAGATTAGTCTGTGATTACAAGCAGTGTAATGCCATTTTCATGCCGAGTCCGTGGGTTTATATCTGAATAATAAACACATGGACTAAGTAATTTACTGACAATTAGCCTGACAACTGTTACAGGAAATGGCTTATGCACTTTAATACTTTAACTCCTTGGCAGCAA